TTATTATTATTATTATTATTAATGTGAAATGACTCCGCTCTCAAGATGACTCACACTATGAATATTATTATTTAGATGATCTTACTCATGCTTGCTTTATTATTACAGCTAGATTTACAACACAGTATCTCCCAGGGTAGCACTTTCAGAGTTTCATGGTGTTTGCTTTATTTGAGTGGGGTGTTTGTTTTATTTATTCATTTTTTATTTTTTTTAAGTTACATATTTATTTACTTATTTATTTTATTTTCAAGGACGGGGGTTGGGATGAATTGTCTTTCTTTGTTTTTTTGGGTTTTTTTGTTTGCTTGAACTTGAGGGATTTTTCGAAAAAAAGTAAACATCAATGTAGATAGAAACACGTCAAATTTCATCCACTTGAACGTGAAGAGAGTATGAGGACGTGGACGTGGAGAGGGGTCCAAAATGACGTAAGTACATGGGCGAACTATTTTGAAACTTTGAGTAGGCCACCGTTGCAACCGATGTAGTGGGTGCAGCCCGGAGAGTGCGATGAACTCGGAAGTATTCCTGTCATAACTGCCAATGTTGATGCACGCAATGCCCAAAGATCTAATAATACTAATAAAGTCTGTACTGTTGAGTAGCGGTTAGGCGATCCGCTGTCGCACGCAGTAGATCCGAGTTCGATTCCCGAGTGAAGGGAAAACTTGCATCGAGTGTCCCAGTTTTTCTGCGCGGATGCTGTATCCCTCTCAGCCCTAGTAGGCCCTGACAGGCAGAGTCGGGAGCATGCCTCCTAAATAATCTAAATTGTGTCGATTGAGACGTAAAAACACCTATACTACAAAAAAATTCTCTTTGTTAAGAAGACAAAACATGGCATAATGATTGGTGCGTGCTTCTATAACATAAAAGTGTCCCTTTTTGGGAACTATCTCCGAATTTTTCTTGGATCTTGCCGCTGCGAGACATACAAGATTTACAAACACATTGCAAGCAATCGGTTTTTTAGATAAATCCATGAGGAAGGATGGTATGCACCGAGTGAATTATCTTCTTTCTTTTTTTTACCCTTTGTTTCACGTTTTGATCATTCCTGGGGAATTACAATATGGTGTTCGTTCGCCTCTCATTCGATAGGTCCCGGGTTCGAATTCGTACAGTGACAGAATAAAATTATATTCTTCTCTAAAATTGTTTCCTCACTCCTTTCCTGCTCTCTAACAATATTCTGTCGTCTGCTTTCGACTCCACTTTCTGCCCCCACCCCCTCACCTCCTTTGGCCCCCTCCTCTGAGCTCCTGGCTCTTACTGCAGCCTTTCTACTGCTACTCCTTGGCTCCTTCATACTGCCATGCTGTCTTTCAGCCACACCTCTGATCCAACACCTAGCCTTCTCGGGTAAAGGTGAAAAATTTAGAGGGTCCCGTGAGCACGTTGCGCACGTTACAGATTCCTTGGTGGTCCAAAATCGATAAGAATTGGTTTCGGCCGCCACCCGGGCAAAATTCAAAATTTCCAACCAACTGAAAATGTTTAATGTGTACCACGCGCCCATATTGTCTTATGCAGTTGCGAGCGCCGTAAAACATTTACAAAAAAAAGTATCCTCAACCTGAATATACACGTTTAAAAAGGACCACACTTTTAGATAGAAAATGTGAGGGTTATTTTCCAAGAAATTTTGGGGGGAGAAAAAAAAAGACAACTTCTTAATGATCATTTTCTTTTATTTTCGCCATTCTTCATAAGGACAGAAAAGGAGACGCGTACTAGATTCCTGTCACCATTGGTTTAATATACATAGGGATAGTATTGTATGTGTATATACATCTATATGTACAATAAGATGCAAGCGCGCGTGTGTGTGTGTTTGTGTGTGTGCGTGTGTGTGTGTATGTGTGTGTGTGTGTGTGAAGGAGAGAGAGAAAGAGAGAGACAGAGACAAAGAGACAGAGAGATAGAGAGACAGAGAGACAGAGAGATACAGAGAGAGACAGAGAGAGAGACAAAGAGAGAGACAGAGACAGAGAGAGACAGAGACAGAAAGAGAGAGAGAGAGAGAGAGAGAGAGAGAGAGAGAGAGAGAGAGAGAGAGAGAGAGAGAGAGAGAGGGGGGGGGGGAGGGAGGGGGGGAATCAAAACGTTCTCCGATCCTTTTATAGAAGATTCCATCTCTTAGTACAGTCTAGCAGTAAATATCACAAAAGCACCAGAAGCCTAACTAACAACATCCTTGTCATGATTTACCACATTATTACTTGCAAGCCTTAAATATTATGTATTTACATCTACATGGATGCATATTTTGTTAGTTCTCAAGAACACAAACATTATCTACCAGACAACTGAAAACATCTGCTATGTCAGCAACTCTTTTTTCCCAAGATAATCCTGCCATGGTCGAATGATGTCATTGCTCACTCCCTGATCGCTTGCTGGTAATGATAGCGTTCTCCAAACTTCTCCCACCACGCTTGCCATATCCTGTGGTCCTCAGCTTTTTTCCTAATGTAAGCCACTGAAAGGTAAGAAATGAATACATGTAATAATTAGTTATAGGTCCAATGTTATTATGTATGGGTTTGTGTTTATAGTTTATAATAATTCGTTACTAGTAATGGAATGAATCTGGCAGACCCCCTCAGAGCTCACGGGTTGTCCCTCCTACAGGCCACTCGCCTTGCTGCAGACAGACGCCTGTGTCTCCCCGCGACACCCACCGGTACAAGCGGAAAAAAGTAAAGTAAAGTAAGTACGTTACTAGTGTCTGTGCGTGGGAATGAGTGTGCCTGTATATGTGTGTGCGTGCGTGCGTGCGTGCGTGCGTGCGTGCGTGCGTGCGTGCGTGCGTGCGTGCGTGCGTGCGTGCGTGCATGCGTGTGTGTGGGGGGGGGGGGGGTGAGAGGTATAATGTTTGTAGTTGTGTGTTTGTTTGTTTGTGTATGTGTGTGTGTGTTTTCGTATGTGTGTATGTGTAGGAGTGTAGGAAGTTAGCCAATCATCTGGACAAGACATCAACAGTACAGTATGGCATAGAGATCCATAAAGAAAAGACTAACCTCATAACCGACAACACCAAAGACATCAGCTCAGACATTATAATTAGTGGCAAAAAAAATAGAGACTGTTCAGAGCTTCACAAACTAAGGTTCAGTGGTGACAGATGGATGAAAGATCAAAACAAGAAATATTGTCCAAGATTGCCCAAACATTTGGTACATTGTCGAAGTTAAAGGCCAAATAGAAAGACTGGAGTATTGCATTCAGTTCCAAAATCAGACTCATACATTTCATGGTCATTTCAATCTTCCTGTACGCTTGTGAGACATAGACCCTTACAGCAGAGTTAGAAAGAAATATACAAGGTACAGACATGAGATGCTTTCGAAGACTGTTGGGCATTTCCTACTGAAATCATGGAACAAGTGAGGCAGTGAGGAACAGAATCAGACATGCTATTGGGCCCTATGAAGATCTCACCACTGTGAAAAAACGCAAACTGGATTGATATGGCACATAACAAGATGCACAGGACTTGCAAAGATGATCCTAGAAGGTACTGTGCAAAGAGGAGTAAGGAAAGGCAGACAGAAAAAGAGGAAGACAGCAGAGCGGAATGGACAGGTTTAAAATTGAGTGAAGCCCTTCGAAAGTCTGAAAATAGAGAAGAGTCGAGAAAAGTGGTTGCCCGGTCATCCTTGGTGCCCCTTCTTCTAGACAAATAGATAAAGTAAATAAAGTGATGTCAATATGCGAAAGCGAATTTGCAAGGAATTACCTTAATTCCCACCCGTGCACATTTGCAGTGAGGCGGAAGAGAGTGTGGTGTCTGTTAGCCTGAGCATGAATGTTTCCCTCGGTATTTTTTTTTCGTAAATCTGTTTCTACAAAGCAAAGGAAAAAAATCCTTTTACGTTATAACAAGTGGCACACTTCACACAAAACGACAAGGACGCGCACAAAGGGTGATTTTGTATAATAACTTGCGTTTGTCTATTGTAGCATGCCCACGGAACAGTTCAGGGTGAGGGGCAGGAAGAGGGTTATATCCGGTCGCCACATTGTGCACGTTGGACGGTCCTCCGCGGAGGTCCACGAAGTCGGGATGAACTCCGCGGTCACAGGCGTGATCCCTGAACTGCCAGTTCTAGCAAGAAAAAAGAAAAAGGAAAAAGAAAAAAAGGAAAACGTAGACACAGAATAAAACGGGAAATAGGCGTCGCACCGCACTCTGCCTTTTCTTGTGTTTCTATCTTTCTTAAAAAAAACCCCCCCCCCCCCCCCCCCCCCCCCCCGCCCTTTCAAATAAAGCCGAAATTATGAAACAGGAGCAAGGTTCCAAAAAAGGAATTTATGTCCGTGACATCTATCAATAATGCACGAAAGAACAGACCTGTGCTACGAGATACCTTCGTAAGCTTATTGTTGTGCCACCAATCCGTACCCTTCTTCTAAGCAAAAGCCTATTTTTGGCTGGTACTGAGCCTGTAGCATATTAACTCACTGAGGACGCACATTCCGGTTTTTCGAACATTTGAAGACGCTCCCTTTTGAAATACAACGCAGCGTATTATCAACATTGGTATTCGTATAGATTTTTCAATCCTTTTCTTTGTCTGAAACTTTAAAAGGCAGGTAACTCATAATATGGGGCCTAGTATGTAATGTTCGAATTCCTGTTCCTGGTGTGTATGTTTGTAAGTTCGAAACGTGCAAGATTTCATCTGATCTGTTTTTGGTCAGGAAATGTGTCTGTTACGTCGGTAAAGATTTCATAGTAATATTATTACGGGCAAAATTATGAGAGAAAATTGAAAAGAATAAAAGCTTCAACCAGTCTGGGACCGACTGATAGCCTATGACAGCTGACAGTCGTGCTACAAGATCGACCACTGGTTAAGACTAGTCATTCAAGAAAAAATGCCATGGTCTTTCACCCTCACTGTCTCCCACCCTCCTTCCACCTCTATCCCCCCCCCCTTTTTTTCTCTCTTTCCTTGACTTTGTTTCTGTTTCTCCCGCTTGTGTGTTTGTGTGTTTGTATGTATGTGTGTGTGTGTGTGTGTGTGTGTGTGTGTGTGTGTGTGTGTGTGTGTGTGTGTGTGTGTGTGTGCGTGCGTATGTGTTCCAGCGGGCAAGCATGCATGTGTGCGTCTGTGTGTGTGTGTGTGTGTGTGTGTGTGTGTGTGTGTGTGTGTAACGTGTGTGTGTGTGTGTGTGTGTGTGTGTGTGTGTGTGTGTGTGTGTGTGTGTGTGTGTGTGTGTGAGAGTGTGTGTGTGTGTGGGGGGGGGGGGGCTTAAAAATGTAATATGTGATGGTCTTTCTGCCTAACGATCAACGGAAGCCAACCAGGGTGCTTCAGTATAGCCTATGATGCACCAGTACTCACATTTTTATAGGGCTGACCTGTTCTTGCTTCAGGAATCCGGGGATAGTGACCGTAGTAAACCAAGTTACTCATCCTCAGTCTCTCGGATGCATTCATGGGCAATGAGGAGAGTAACCATGGGTGAGTTTCTACTGTCTGCAAATCATCTGGTGAGCAACGGGGCGGCTTGATGATACCCCGTGGGTTTGCAATCGACATTCTACCGTTGCCTGGATTAAGCCTGTTTAATCTATCACTGCACCCAAAATAAGTCTGATTTCAAGCACAAACTTTAAAGAGGGAGGCTACTATTCCTGTTTCCATACCTACATAATTTTACAGTACTTCCCCTTGGCCTTTGTAAAAGAAGAGGGGAGCATTCCTGGAAATGTTTTACAAAAAAAAAGACATCGTGGAATAAGATTTTACATTTTAATCAAAAAGCAATTTCACTGCTAATAAATACATTTTTCAAGCTAGATTATTTGACTCTACATTTTACAGTTATGTAGAAAGCTTACAGGATCAAGACAGAAAAATACAGATTAAGTTACGTGTGTTTTTGAAACTACGCAACGCCCCCCTTGCCGGCGGAAGCAAGCAACACGTATACAGTGGGCTACAACAATCTTGCAGGCAGCAGAGAAGCAACTCCAATTTGCTATTTTCATAAAAGTCGAGCAGTTTGAAAGGCCTCAACGGGTTCAAAACAGTTGTCATGGGTAAATACTTGGAGAATAGCCGTTTATTTAGATATTTAGAAACAGTGGTTTGCTATTAAATTTATAGATTTACAATAGAAATTTTATTCTTCACGGAGGGGGAGAGCGGTCCAGTCAAGACAGTCAAGTTCATTACCGACCATGTCATGAACATACACAGTGATGAATGATGAACTGTAATTAACCCTCGTCCTGCGGGGGCCGGGTTTTTGTCGCCCGATAAGCCTATTTCAGCACCTCGCCTGCGTTCTGGTCCCAGGCCGAGCATCATCTCACGTGAAATTCGGGTCCCGCGTCGGATCCCCATTCACGCAGGGCAGGTCAAGTGTGTCCGTCAGTCTGCTTGAGTTTGTGTGCGTTTGTGGCCTTCTTCTAGAACCGCCTGCGTTGGTTCGTAATCGAGGCATACGTCATACGTCGCATTCAAAATACGCCAAGTTGGTAGCTCTAGATGTTCATCTAATGAAATTATAGAAGAAATTGACCCACTTTTATACATGAGGCATGAGGAGCTCGAAAGGATAGTCAGGAAACAAGACTCCCACTTTTCTACGAAATCTTTCAAATGAGCTTGATTTTGTATGAAATGATACTACCTGATAAAAAATGAGCTTGTTTGATAGGTTTGAATACCATTGAGGCATTGTGCAGGTACAAAGAACAATTTGAGTGCAAAACATTCGGAAATTGACCTATATTAACCCCTTTCGAACCTCAGGTCATTCATAACAACAAGAGCATATCTAGAAAGGTTATTCGAACGGGCGTAACTACTCGTACTGTCTTATCAGCTTGTGAGAGGGGGTGTGACACTTTATAAATAGAAAGCTATGAAAGATAGAGCATTATTTTCATCATCGATTAACACACTCCCACAATGTTCATGGCGAAAACACATGTTTCCCGGCGCGCGCGCTGTACACCAACAGTACACACTGAGTGACCCCAGCGGCCTGCCCGGAATGTCCGACGTAATCGGTTGCTGATAAGATTCGCATCTCAGCACAGATGCAGGACAAGAGTTAAAGTACTTAATTTATAATTATTTTTGGCTGTTCTTGGATGTAAAAAGTCTTGTCTAGGTGTCAGCTTAGATCTATTAAATGTCTAGATCTACCTAGAGATCTAGATGTAAAGCCTGAAAACAAGCTAATATGTTTTTGGTAATTAGCAGAGATTCTCTGGAAGCGAGTCCGAATAGCCTCCTGTCGCTATTTGGACACAAGAAGCTCCAATGCATGGATGTAATATGGGGTGCTCATTTGGGGGATCGGGTCTGGTTGGGGCAGTTTGCTAGCCAGGGTAACAGGTTACTTTGTCACACGGTCATCTCGTCACCCCCCAATTACAAAATGACATCGGATCTAGATCTCTCTCCAAAATTGTTATGTTAGATTCTAGATCTACTACTAGAATGGGGTCGGCACACCGTGGCCGTCTAAGAAAACTGTAGAGGACAAATTCATGCTCGACATCTCCTTGGCTTGCTGTGCTTTGTTTCGCTACTCTTTTTGCCTCATCCGGTATGTTTTTAGGCCAGCTCTATTTCTCCGAAGGCTCGATAAAATAAACTTGAACTATTTCCCAGAACGGTTTCCGTTCTCGAGATTTTTTGATAAATTTGCGAATGGAGTGGCCCGCATGTGAGTATGCGTGAGTGTGTATGTGTGTGTGTAAGGCGTGAACGTGGGGGGCCCTTGGGGGGATTTTTTTTTTTTTTTAATCTTTGCTTTAGGGGTGACTAAAAGCAAACTGCCGAAGTTGAGCAGTCTTGTTTTCTCGCAGTACCTTTTGAAGGTATTTTCAAATGAAGTATGGTCTGGGAACGTTGCCTCAACTACAATTTAAGTATCTGAATATTCCGACAACTAAAAATCTCTAGCTCTAGAAATTTAATTTGATGCAAAAAATGCTTCCTCCCAGTCTTCGCAGAATGGCAGCATGAAAGATGAAGCCGAACTCTCCCAAATAACCAAAAAATCTCGAAAACGGAAGCCATTCGGAGAAATAGAGATCAGGTTTATTTTCCTGAGCTTTCGGAGAAATAGTCACTTCGATATTTTTAATTTTAAACAACCCAACTTCTTTTACATGTGAAAGTTGGATCAGCCACTTTCAGAAACAATTGTGATGACGACCCCGGCCCGTACTCGAGTCGGAAAATCCGGCCACCTGTTGGGGATTCGGCTCAACTTCGGCCCCGCTCGGCAAATCCAGCCGTGTTGTGTAATTTTCAAAACTCCCAATTCAAATTGCCACCCCACTTTGGATACGTTTAAAATGAGAATACTCTAAATGTAGTGCAATGGTCCTAAAATAATGGTTCTCGGGGTGTTCCCAGACCTATTAATAGGACTCACCTTGAATTTGAATCGGATGGGCAATCTTAGCCAACGGATGGACTGGATTTAACATACTTGACAAAAGGGTCGTCAAGAGGTATTCGCAGGAAAAGCGGTCCGAAAACCAGAAGTAGCAATCTTCTTTTTAGAAAATATTTTCGCAGCATGGCTCGGATTAGTCATGCTGGGAACCTCTTGCAAGGTATGGAAATTATTGTTCCCGTGAGGTGGCCGGATTTATAAGGCTTTATAAATTTGAAAGTAAGGGTTGAGCTTTTAGCAAAATTACAGTTCCGTACATTTCTATTTAGCTAATTCATTTTCAACAGAACTAATATGATCTTGCCAATCACACCTTTCATCAATAATAATACCTAAAAATCTTGTTGATCTGACTCGATAGATTTCAATATTTTCAATACATGTATAAAATTTATGAACAGTGTAGCTGATCAGGTAGGAACGACGACTCGCACAGCCCCCCCTCAGGCCACAGGAGGCTATTCAGACTTAATTTGTAGAGGTTTAACGGCGCTCGCAACTGCATAAGGTCATATGGATTCTAGGGAGGTATGAACAAAATTAACTCAGGGTTTTAAGGGTTAATCTACACACACTGAGCATACAGTGGATTGTGTATTTCTGTAGCCGACATGTGTGTGCGTAGATCTGCTTGTGTTTGTGTGCATTTCAATTCAATTACTGGCCACTTCTAGAACCGTCTGCATTGGTTTGAAACTGAGGCGTAGCCTACATCTTGTTCGAAATACGTAAAGTTTGTAGCTTTAGATATTCCTCCAATGAAATTTGAACAAATTGACTCTCGTATACATGAGGAACTCGAAAGGATTTATAAAACCCGGAAACAAGATTTCTGTTTTGATATTTTTCTATCAAAAACCTTTCAAATGTGCTTGTTTTTACACAAAATGAGAGAGGGTTCCCACTCTATGGGGAAAATGGAAATAAAGCCAAGAATTTCTTTTTCAGATTTTCTGGTCAGAAAAGCTCCATGAAAATGGATGAAAATGAAAATATGCGAGAGAAAGCCGGCTGCCTATGATTATGAATTTGGGAGAATCGTTAAGGTTTTTAAACTTTAAAAAAAAACATTTCAATTTTACAAAAATACAATCATAACACCCAACCCCTTATTCCGATTAAAAATAGATTTATTTACTTAATTTACCGTCCAGCTACCCCTACCCATCTCCACCTTCCGGGCGTAATTGTTAGGAAAAGTGAGCTACGGACGGTCTTCGTCACTACATCACGGGCAGCTAACTTTTAATACCCTCTGTGCTCTGAGCCCTAGTCGCTCAGTAACACTTTGCCTCAGAAAAACATACTAGGAATAAGGCCAACATTAGTTTGACAAGATGTTAAACAATTCTTGTGCCTAGGTGTTGTGGGTGCCGGCCCAGGCCAATGAGAGAAAAAAAAAACTGGATCAAGTTTACAATTTTAAACAATCAGCTTCGATGTGTACAGTTAAGATCAAAGGCTTGGGATGCATCCCGTAGGAATCTTTTGTTTTCGCCAGTCAAGCCAATAGCCAATAAAGTCTCTCTTTAAACACCATGATGGAAGGTTTCACACATTTTCTTATTTATGGGGATTTTTTTTGTCTCTTCAGCATTGCCAACAGGAGCTTCTGCAGCGGTCTCCCTGCTTCTTACCATCACGTTGTTTGCTCTGATGCAGATCTTCAAGGAGATCATTTCATCAACTGAATATTTCACCATTGCTGGAGGATTTATGGGCTCACTTTTGTTCATAACCCTTCTCACTGTATCCTTTTTTGGTATTTGAATACATATTTTTAGATTGTTTTATCTACTCGTGATGCCGTTGATGGATGCTCTGATATGGAGGAGAAAAGGTAGAATATATCATATCTGTGTCAGATACAATGCTGACATTCTGTAAGTTCTGAGAAGATTAGAAAACAAAAAGGGCTTTCACTTCATGATTCGAGTTTCTATATATAATAATGTCAATGAGATCGAAGGTTGCTTTGTTCAATCAAACAACATGCTTTACCTCTTAACCCAAAGCATCTGCCAACTGACGAGTCATTTTTGTCTCTTCACTGCTGTACCGAACTTGTCCCACACTAGGGCTAGACTAACGTTGAACGAAACTAATACAGTTGTACTACAGTGGACAAGAGGCTTCCAAGACACCGGCTGTGAGAAGCTCGTTTTCCTCAAGTGCATATCATATGAATATAACTGACAGATAGGAGGGCCTATTGCTAATGATTGTTTAGACAAAACATGACAGATAATTGATTTCACCGACTCGCCCTCAACCCATTATGCAAATCAATGTCAAATACTGTATACAATAGCCAGGCAGAAAATGTATGACCTTTCTTCTGTTGACAATTCACACCCTCTGATTGGTCGCATAGAATGATTGTTTGTAGTGTACAGCACAATAATCCGCAGGTAGGGCAACTCATAGTACCTTAGAATAGAGTAGACAAGGTGCTTTGTGGGAAAAAATGTGTGAAGCCATATTAATCAGGACTGTTCAATCTGACTTCAGTGAATCTTAGTATTCTTAGTTTACTCATTTAGGTACTCATTGAATATGAGGTGCATTTTACTGATTTTAATGATTTAAAAAAATGGGGGGTGGGGGGGTATTTGAGTTTCACTGCTGTGTATATTGTCATGAGCTTTTATTTTGATGATTTAGTCCTTAACAGGAATCAAGTTTGTGAGCAACATGGAGGTGTTCCTCTTCGGAAAAGGCTTTCAGACTCGATTGTTCCCTGAAGGTGAGTATTGCTGGTTTTGCAGGTTATTTTCTCAGGTCAGAAGGTCAGGCAGTGTCTAGTCTAAGCATACCAGTATACAATATTTTTCCTAAACATATTAAGTGCATATTACTTCCACGTAGTTTTTTTCTTTGTTTCTCCTTGTTTCAAAAGTGTGTTGTGCCTATGTCACACGTGTTTGTATTGTTGATAACCCAACTCTTGCTATAAAGTCGACAAGTTTTCAACCATAAGTGAGTTGTGTGGCCATTGTCCTCTATGAATTTTGTAGGGAGAGCAGTTCGTAGGTGATGGGATGGAGATTTTTTAGGGCATTGGGCACTGTCTGCTGTTGCAGTCTTTAGAAGGTGAAAAATGAAAGAGTTAGATGATACAGCCTGCCTACTTGTCTGCAGTGTTCTGTGGAGATATGGACCATTTGTAGTTTTTATGTTCACAGTGCCTCAAAAAAGTCTGCAAAATAATCTTCTTTTTTTTTTCCACCACTTTCAATGTATTAAATATTTTTATTTCCTTTTTTCACATCTTTGTCACTATCGATGCAAATGGCTGATTAGAAGAGGGTTTAATAATTATGATCTTTTCCTTTGTTATCTCACTTTTTGCCACCTGTATCTTTATTTTTGTTTATGTTAGCAGTTTGAAACTTCATGAACTTTGGTGTTTATAGGATCCTAAGCTTTGACTGGAAACTTAGAAATATGGAGTAATTTACTATGATTTGTATTATTTTTGTCCCCAGTTATTGCCTGCCTCTTCCTTGCCATGTTTTCATCTGCCCTTGTTCACAGAGTTTGTGTCACAACATGGTAAGTACTGTAGAAACATTATGTAAGAGATATACAATTAACAATCAAAATTATGTATGCACAGGTGGTCATGCTCACATTTCCTAAGTAAAGAAAGTTAAACAGTATCGTACCTTGCCAATAATCAATCAATATCTTGTTATCTTCAGCAAGGCTTTTTATTTTCATTGAAATACTTTAGAACATCTGTGGAGACCTTTTTTTTTTTTTTATCAATGTTTTAGGAGGCCATAGAGATTTGTGTTAACCATGTTTTGTTTTTTGAATTTCTGTAGTAGCTTAAACGATATTCAACAGAGGCCCTACAAGCATGGGGCTTTTGTTAAGTGTACCTCATGCCTCATGCTGTTCTGTATGAATTTTTTTTTCCTCCTTTTGTTTTGCCTAGGAATTTTTCACCTTTTCAGGTGTTTTTAAGCCTTGGTTCTGAAAGGATGTCAGTCTGCATTAGTAAAACCTCATTCAGTCTGGCAATATTTTTTGCTAATCTATGAACTGATTTTTCAAAGATAAATTGTTGAGGGTAGGTGAGGATCTAGTGAGGTGTGCTTCTTCTACAGTGGGCCCTGCTTGTAACAGTCTTGTTTAGAATAGAAATTCAGGTATAGCAGGCTTACAATTAATCTCCTAGTCCAATCTCTCATTATAATGTATCCTGAAATAGTTCTTTTATAGCAAGCATTCGGACCGACATGCTGGGCTATAACAGTGATCGAAGCACCAACAAAATCTTTAAACAAAGAGACAAAAGTGCGGAAAAAAGCAAATAAATTTAAAACAAAACAACATTGTATTGGTTGTGTATACATTTTATAATGTGTCATGATTTGTGTGCGCAAGGAGGAAGAGGGAGAGCTGGGTGCACATTGGTCACTTGGTGATGATTCAGTTAATGATTTGGTCTGAAACCACTCCTTCACATTGTCTCCTGATGGGGTGGCGAGACCTGGAGTGCGACTTAAACACTAGATCTACTTCCAGAACTATGTGTGTTCCTTTTTCCAACTGGTTACTATTCAATTACGAATATTTGTACAGTGCACAGGGCATACTGTGGACTCTGTGGAGCATGAGTATGTGATATATGTATATAATATATATATATATATATATATATATATATATATTTTAATGCAATCTTTATTATTATTACCCATGCTTTGCAAATTATGTTTAGTCAACCTCTATGAGACTAAGATGCTAGAAAAAAAAAGAAGATAAAGATGAGAAGAAACAAATAAAGAAGATTCTGCTGTAACCGGGATACCACGTCCTGATCGAGGTAAAAATGTGATTTTGATGTCTGCCTATATTCAGTTCCATTATTTTTGTTTTTTCAATCAATTTTGTTATTGTTATTATTATCATTATTATTAGTATTATTATTGTTTTTGTTTGTTTTTTTGCAGCTTCATTTTTTCAGCAGTGGCTCTCTACTATATCAACCGGATATCTCAAAGTATGTACGCTCCACCTGTGGCTGCTGCAAGTGTTTCTTCCAAGAAGAAGAAGTAAATTTGAAAATATTTTTCACTTCTCATGGTCTTACTTAGTCATTGAATAAAAAATTAACATCCAATATTGTTTAAAGAATGTATGAGGTGTGGAATGAGGAAAGAAGTCCAGTACCATAACGAAGTTCAGCTTTATATCACAGGCTTAATAGTGAAAGTTCTGTAGTTGATGTACTTTATTTGTATGACCAGTCTCTAAAGCTGCAGCTTTTTCATTTTTTTTATGTTGATAAAAACGTGTTATTTTAAAAGGTGTTTGAGTTGAGTGTTTTGTGATTCTTTGTGGTCTCTATATCACTTGTGGAGCATAAAAATTTGTTGTGTCACTGCTCTTTATGTTTGTTGTAATAAAAAATATTTAAATCTTCTTAATGTGTCTTCTTGTTTATTAGAGGTGAATATTTATGATTACTGCCAGAGGTAATGGTTTGTTGACAAGTATTCTCTATAAGTTTGAAATTAATGTGTCACTTACAAACTGTGACTCTTTGATGATACAGTCTAGCATGCACATAGTGAACAGAATTTCGGGCCTGATGTTTTTCTTATACATGCATATTCTTTGTGTTTAGGACATACATAGTGAAATTCATACAGAAAGAAGAGATTTCCGTGTCCTGTTGATTTTACTATGTGTGTGCTAGACTAGTTAAGAGGTAGTTTGCTTTGTTTTCCATATTTGGGAAGCGGAGAATTTGCAGTTGAAAGGAAATACATAGCAGCCTATGATCCTGATGCTTGAGAGTAAAGAAAATGCAGCATCTCATGCAAACTGGATCTTACCTGGTTCATCATGGGGGGAATCCACAGGGAATTGTGGCAAGGCTCACAATCAGTAAAATGGTCCTCCCTTACTTTGTTGATATGAACTGACAGGACCCTTAGGTGAGTTTATAACTTATAGTGAACAAAGAGTGATTAACTTTATGCCCGGTCACATTGGCATGAGATGTGCCATTTTCACTTATCCAATCACCAGTCTCAAGACAGATATCTGGATTGATCCCATTGTTCCATCCCTGTTCAAAATCTATAGTTGTCCATCTCTGTTGTAGTGCACCATTTTGTTGTGACTGCCCCAATAAAAAATTGGTCTGTCTCGCAAATTCGAGCATAAAGATTAATGCAACTGCCTCGGTGGTCAAACAGCATTGAATTCACAGTTCTGCCTTGTAGGCCCTACCCACCCAGTGTGCGATGTAAGTTCTGGCAGAGGGCTCAATTAATGCAAGTGCAATGTTTGGGGCTAATAAAGGCTTTGACGGATTCACACCTCACATGATCCTGTCTGAGACAATGTACCCTCACATTAAAATTTACAACGGAGATGCGATCGCATTTACAACAGTGGGTTATCTATGACGCAATGGGCAGTAAGATAGCTCAATTATCGCTGTTTGCTTGATCAGCTGTGCTTGCCTGGCATTTTGTTCTGAAAATCATTTTCTGAAATGCGGGGGATCTTGGCCGTATGTAATCCTTCAGAACGGGTTCTTAGGGGTGACTTTGGTGTAGTAAAAATTCTGTTTTCTTAAAACAGTGGGGTTCTAAGCAAACGGGGATTGTAAGTGATGAGATAGTAGGCAGAGACCACTGTTATATAACCCATTCAGACACCATTATGTAATCAGACACGTCCTCTGACTAGTTTTTATCACCTTTCTTGTCTCAGCAGAGATAATGAGGGATATATTGGAAAATAAATATATGTCGATCTCTAACATAAATTGTTACAAACACTTTTCATCTGAAACATCTAGAATAAAAAGTTTGCAATAAATTTGTAAATTAGATTTTTAGGTAATTAATATAATTAATATGTACAAGCTTGGAATTTTTAGCTACAATTCATTCTGTGACGGATGTCAGAAAAATTGAAGGCTGTTAATGATTTGTATGAGACTTGTTGATAGGTAGACCTACATGTATTACTCATGACTCCATATTTTTCGTTGGATAGTTGCCATGAGAACTTAGCACAGTTTTGAGCTTTGGTAAGCCTGTCACACCATCTATGTTTTTTTAAAAGACTGAAATATGTTAGACATCACAATTTCCCAAACTGATACATACTTTTGTGTTAGTATGATGAAGTCATCTATTCTGGTTGTAGCTTGATGATTTTGCCCACATTCCATTTCTCTTTTACTGCCAAAATGGTTTGAGTTTTCTATTCTCTTGTCACATCGTTGGTGCAATTCTATACATAAGTCTGGACTTTTATTAGATTTATTTTTTTTTTCTGTTCCTTTAATATGGGATGATGGTCACAGAGTGTTGTAATCATGAAATCTAATGCTAAAAATTGAAAATGGAAAGCCTGTGAGCCCCCAAAAAATCAGCCTCTGGACTTTTTGTCTCTCGTGAAAAATTCATTTTGGCCCACGTATGCCTTTATAGAACCACACAATCAGATTACAATACAGGTGATGCTGCTGTTAACAATGTCCTTGGGAAATTGCTTTGACTTGGATTTCAATAATAGAACACAGCCATAGCGGGACATTTTGTTCCAGAAGAAAAATCCTGCTGTAGGCGAGTTCGCGCTATAGGAATGTAAAGGGGAAATAACCGAAAAATTTATAAAAGTCCACATGAATGTCTCCCTTCCATTCAATAAAATGTGCGCTTTTGATTAGTCTTCCTTTTCTTGTTAACTTCGTTGATTATCTCGGCTTTTAATTCGAGTGAGAATCATTTCCTTTTGTCCTTCTTGGAAGCCATCTTTTCCTCGGTTTCGTTACTTGTGCTGTCTGTCATACCAGAAGGGCAACTGTAGAACTCGTGAAGTGGATACGTGCGTATGTCTATGAGCATCAACGATTGTTGTTCAATGAATCGGGAATCACACACTACACGCTCTCCTCTTCTACTAAGCTACGGCACATCACTTTTGGAGTGGCTCATGAAACACATCTCTCCACACCAGCTCTCTCTGCCGCTTGCCCCAGCTCACTTATCACTGGACTGGCCATTCACAACACTGCACCGCTGACTGCCTGTTTGGAGCCCGCCTAGAGCCCCCCAGCTAGAGCTCGCTCGATCTCTCCCGCTGTATCCAAGTTCGGGCCTTTCCTTGCCCCGTTAAACCCGAGCACAGGTAATTGAGTTTATATAGAGTAAAAAAGGGGGATTCCGGTAAGGTCCCGCTGTAGGGATGGTACCGCTGTAGTCGTGTTCTACAGTAGCAATCTACAGTTAGTAGATTTTAAAGACATGAATGAGGGAAATAACTACCATGAATACTTTAGTGGAAAAAAAATATCCGTGTTTATGTCCCCTTATCTGGGAACTGGAGTCCCTGACCGTTTTCTTGATCACAGGACCAACTCATAGTCTTCTTTATTATCCTCATGTCTTCCTCCCAGTTTGCCCAACCTGGTCATTGTATACGTCTGATTATAATGATTAATATGATGCTCCTAATCTTTTCCCATCCTTGTTTTTCTCTATATATTGACAAAGATAAACAATCGAAACTGTTTAACTTTAACCGTATCCGTACGTCGTGGGGAACTCTGTGCCACCACTTTCGAAAGAGAAATTTTTCTCGTTAATCCGATCCGTACGCTTTGCATAACAGTCTGTCAAAATTATTTTTTGAGAAATACTGAAAGTTTCAAAGAGATCTTCGTACTAGAAGTATTCTAAAATGTGAAGAATACAACCACACGGGTACAAAATGACCCCAGGGCGTACGGAGAGGGTTAAGACAGACAACCCATTGTTGAGGAGAAAAGTGGCCGTCTTAGTCTTAGCCAGGTGACCCCAACCGTCTTTCTAAGTGTCATTATACTGTACAAATATACACAAGGGAGAAAATGGGGAGTGGCCTTTTGTACAAATTATTTTCTTTTTAAACAGGTGGCCATTAGAACATGTTCAACGGTATAAATATTTTTGTTCTTTTATGATTGACTTTTTACTTCCTGGAATCAAAACTGTGCTTCTTTTGACTGAAGCTGAGAATATAGGTTACTTCTAATACTACATTGCATAAGCAGTGGTCTTCATTCACGTAAATTATAGGGGTTTTTTCCCCCCATGAAATAGAGGCTAAGATTCATTTAAGTTCCCTTGTGATTCATTTCCTGAAGGGTGTACAAATTTCGCAAAGCAGGCAGTTCACTGCTAATGACTTCATTAGGAGATTAGAGCCATATATTACATGTACCAATGTATGTGTTTGCAAGAAGACAGGAGATGGGAGCACAAAGAATCTGGTTCCATTATGTAGGCCTATCCATCAAGTCTTCAATGTTTTCAAGGGTGTGGCTATAAGTTATGAGCAAAGTCAACATGAAACAGCCTGGGGCAGAAGCAGTGAGATTGTGAACTTTTTTTAATTTATAGATTCGCATTACATGAGTATTGTGTAAGGTCAAAATATAGTATTCAATAAATGTCACGGACAAACTGAAGAAATTAAATCAGAACATTCTCTATTACATCTAAAAACCGAAACAACAAATTAATAAATCAAGATATTATCAGCCCCCCCCCCCCCCCCCCATCCCAACTTATTTAAAAAAAATATCTACTCCCAGGATCCTGGGAGAGCTTGCATTCTTCCTACTCTGTGAAAATGCAGGTGAAAGTTTATTTCAATAATTGCTCATCAGATAAATCATAGTGTTCATCTCATTCTAAAATTACAATATTCTGCTCTTTATTAAGTAAATTAAGATGAATATGAACCAAATGGTTATATATAGTATAGCTTTTTTTCGCCCAAAAAAAATATGAACCTCTGTGGGAAGTAAACCATTTACATTTGTAACTAAAAACTATTTTTAAAATTCATACATGAGGCATACAATGTACATATTTTGTATATGATTAATCTAAATATGGCAGATAAATATTAGTTGAATGTACAAAATGAATCGTTGTAAAAAATGCATGTACATTTGACTTATTCAAAGGGTATGAGCATAGACTAGTAAGTAGAAGGGGTACAGATACATTGGTGATTCTTTTCATACAATAATATAGCAATAGGAAAATACAGAAGATACCAAGGGATTTTTTCATGTAAGCCTACTTATCGCATCAGCTCACTTTTTTCCTGACAATAATATGTTGGTATGTCGGTCTACAAGAAAAACATTACGTGTCAGAACGCTGTCTCAAACCATAGGACTCTTTCTATTTCCTTATGACCTGGGGGGGTGGGGTGTTGTTGTTTTTTCCTGACAATATAGATAACATACATTGTACTGCTCAGCTTTCTAAAAAGAATTTAGAAAGCAATATCATACAGACATTATGGGATAGGACAAAGACTTTTTACCTCTGTACCTCTTTCACCTCAAAATCTTTTGCCAAGTAAAGTAATACCTTTTCTTACTGCCCCTGTTTTTATTTGGCCATCACAGCCAGTAACATTGAGTTTGAGAGGGAATTTTCAGTGGTAGCTTTTTGAACAGACCTCATAACTGAGAAGAAATGAAATGTTTACATCTCCAGTGCTGGTATTCAGAGTGCAAGGCTGCTCAAGAAAACACTACACAGTGACAACATCTGAAAATTAGATTTATATGTTTCTATGGCAAAGAAAAGAAGTGGCATAGGCATAAGCTTTAATTGAGAAAATGAGAAATGAGGAGAAAAATCGTGTTTTGGAAAATTGACGTTCGCCAAGGATACCACCTCATCAACTTCCTGACTTCATCCTCACAATATTTCTCATGCCAATTATTTTCTGCTTAGATTATGCTTTTGAATGCTTTTAAAAGAGCATTTGTTAAGTAATGTGAAAGATTCATTTTTATTGTTAACTCCCTGGTCTGATGATGACTATCTATTAGTGCGCTTGGACTCCTTCCAGCTTGGAAGAATTGGAGGGCGCATCCCTGACTTTCAGGTTACAATGTTCATTGATGACATGATATCTGGACCTAAGAAATGCATTTCTGCGCATAAGTTTTGCATTATAAATTAAAACACCATTGTGATTATTCTGTCCATTATTTTATTGGGCATTGGTTTGTCCTGTGATACCAGCATATTATTTGATTTTTTTAAAAATAAGCCTCGTTCATTTTGAATAAAACCATTGCTCTTGAGATTAAATATACATGAAACTTTAAGGTTGGTTTTCTCTATTGAAGTTGGTGCAGACCTGGCACTGGATGATGATGATGAGTTGGTGCATCCTTCTTTCACAAAAATGACCATAATATCTCAAAAAACTATTTGAGAATATCTGAATTTTTTTTTAAACCCCCAACTAACAGAATTATCTGGAAAAGTCATTCTATGCAGAAAAGAAACATATTTCTTCAAAAGTAAAATATTGCACATAGTGACATATGGACCCTATTCTTAAGCATGTACACATATTTTGATCCTAGAAAGACAAATTCTAGTAAATGGCAGATCTTTTAAGTTACTAAGACCAAGTTTTATAGGAAAGATAAATCACTGATATTTTTGTAGTGTTGTGTAACAACTAGATTTTCTACTCATTGACCGTAGAAAAGACAATATTGATACTTTTGGTCAAGTTGATTTGCTTAAAATGAAGTTACATCCTCAAACAAATTATAGTTTTCGGCACTCGTATGACCTAGAAATTTGTGTTGCAAATGCTCTAAAGGTAAAATTCTTATTTTTTATAAATTGTCTGCTTAATGTCTTACAACTTGCAATGAATTGGTTTTACTGCCGACATAATTATATCGATAAAAGAGAGTTCAGCACTGTTGTAGCTGGGGTGCACTAGTGGCTCTTCTTACTGAATAATTGAAAGAGACAAGGGCACAAAGTATAAATCTACTTACCCCAAGGCAAGTTATATAAAAAGGATGAGCAGTGGTCAAGCTCGTCATACAAACGTGAATTTATCAGTAGTATTGTCATTCAACAATTCATTCAGAGCAAAGACATGCTCAGCACTGTTATCAAGAATGGGTAGAAAATTGAAACGTCGTAGAAAATCGAAGCCTGAAATAGTTATATTATGGGACATAACCAATGCTAATGAACTGATTAATGTCTCTGGTATGAAAACTTGATTCTGGACATGCCAATGATTAACATCTACAGTCAAACTTGCTCTAATGGCTACCTGTCCATGACAGTCACCTGTAAAAATAACCACTTCCCACATCCCTTTGCACGAGACAGACAATCAGCTATGCCTAAATGACTAAAGGTTTCATCAAATGTTTGATGACCAACACGTCGGCAGGAGACGGGAAAGTAGGCTACTTTTTGTGACAGCAAATACGATATTAAAAATCTTTTTTTTTTAATGGTTCATCAAATAGGTCGGTTTTTTGTGACTTTGAAAACATTTGAAGAAATACGATATTAATCATTTTTTGGAGAATATCAATTTTTAAATTTTTATTTTTTAAATTTTTTTTTTTGGGGGGGGGGGGGCATTTGCTCTTTGAGGATTTTTTTGGTGGACGGGAGGGGGGTGGGATGTTCTATCGAGTACAGTGGAAGTCGGATTCAACGAGAACTCGGATTCAACGAGATCAATAAACATAAAATAACCCGGATTCAATGAACACTTAAATCAGCCAGCTCGGATTCAACGAGGTCGCAGACGTGGTTTCGCTCATTTTTCTCCTAGAACTCTGAGAACGAACTTTATCTATTCCCGGAAACCATCCATTGCACCTGCATTGTGAACCATTATTCGCTTAGCCGATTGCATGCGACAAATCAGCGGCCTTTTTTCATACCAACACATGCGTTGTTGGCACGCGCACGTGTCTACTCTGGCGTGTGTCGGGGTCGGATGGGCGGCCTGCACACGTGTGGCTGTGTGTGCGTGTCGGGGCGGGGGGCACTAGCGGTCCGGGCGTTGAACGTCGCAGATACAAAAGGGTTACAGTCTTTTTTTTTTTCCCTTGGCAACTGATCATTATTATAATGATAAGCTAGTCTTGACGTAGATCTACGTAATGAATTAAGTGTGCGCTGGTCTATGGAATCATAATAATATGTTGCTGTATGCTAGGCTCTACACAGCAACACAACTTTTTGGTAAACAATCGAGATGACACGGGCGTGTGCATTTGAACGAATCGGTCCTTTTTTTTTTACACAGCTCATAATATGCCGGCATTTCAGGTACTACTTGTGACTTCTTTTTATATATTACTTGCTCAGTGCCTGTAATTATTTAATTTACACAAACCCTCGTGTTTGCTATAACGAACACAACACTCGGATTCAACGAGATTTTAGGTCAGGCCCGGCTACCTCGTTGAATCCGAGTTCCACTGTACTACAAAATCTGCTGCCCACCAGAAGGAGAGGTGCAATGCCTTTGGTGGTGCATTCACACATGGCAGAGGATTTTCGATACTTATTTGCTTACATCGATACACTTCACACATGGGTAAATAACATGAAAATTTTGTATTGTATGTTTCATCTGTCTTTCTCACCCTATTACCTTTGGATGGTTGGTGGGTGCTCTGGTGTGGTTAGCTCCTTCTTTCTTATCTCTCGTCCATCTTTTCTTTGTACATAACTCTCCAATAACACCTATAGCCTTTGGCACTTATAATATGACCTATTTGTGTTGCAAGTACTGTTAACATTTCTAATTAATTTTTTCAAAATTCTTTTTCTCTTTCCTTTTGTACTTTTTCACTGGACTAACTAGTGGTCAGCCTTCAAATTAATCTCTCCTAGTGTCTAGTGTAGGGACTTTAAACTCATTCAGAAAGTAGAATAACACAATAATTTGGGCTTGCATTATATTCACATTGTTGAGTAGAATCACGTTCATGATTTTAGAGCACTACTACTTCCTGATATCGTGCAGAAATTAACATGCTGTCCAAGAGAAGGATGAAATCTGCATTCTTTTCCCAAACTTTCAAATAGGTTGGTTGTAGATGTATCAAAAAGGTTATTGCATCCTGTTGATTTTCAAATGTTATCACATATATATGTACAAACACATCAATTTATAGTAACAATACTATTGATTATAACAGAAAAAGTGCGGATTTAACTTAATTCTTTTACGTTGTGCCTTACAACTATCTTTAGGACTATCATTACTCACTTTGTACACATTCATATATAATATTCTGAAATCGGGAGGGGGGGGGGGATAAGAAGACCATGTCAAGACGTTACAAAAGTCTTAAAATGCAAGGCGATCAACAGAGTAGAGGCTTCTTACGTTACATAACAATGTGGCTTGTCTTGCACGTCACGAAAAACTGTAATATACATGTACATATAATATAAACACTAGATCTATCCTTTTCTTCTTTAGGCTGTACACTGAAAATGGGGGGGGTCCTGTCATTTACTGAGTTACACAGGGTCAAAGCATATCTACAGGTCTTCCATTTTAAAATTTAAAAAATTGATAGCTATTAGTTTTTGATAGAAATCAATTAAGTTATCGGTAATCTACTTCTCTCTTTTGGGATGTATCCCACTTAACTTGGTTGATCCTTATAAGTGGCTCCTAACTGGTTTAACTTGTGTTCGTGGGAGTGTTAAACATCTGCGTTAACTTAGTTTATAAATATATTTTAAATTGAATCAAAATGTACGGAAAACTGTGCGGCATAAAGAGTACGTTGAACTTGTGTCAAAGGTCAGAGTCTCCCCAGTGATAGCTATTTGGGTTGGCGTAGTAAGGCGACTGTCTGCTATTAGTGTTGGAGTCAGGGACATAGGCTCTAGCCCTGTATTCAGGTGGCTGCGTTGCTCTGCCATTAGCCAACCTGTAGTCCCCATGTTCGTAACTCTCGCCCCTCCGATGTCGCCGGTCGAGGATGGGAGACTTGCTGCTTAGGTCTGGGTTGGAGCTATAGTAGCCTTGAGGCAGGTGGGAAGTTGGCTGCTGTGGCTGACCATTGGAATCCGGCTGTCCGCGTCGCTGCTGGTGCTCTCGCTTGACCTGTCGAGGCCTGGATTTGATCCCCCCACTGTTGTTGTGCTTCTTGTCGCTGTGACCCGTTTTGTCGCGAGAAGCGGAATGTCTTTTAGTTTTATCTCCCTTTGACGGCTTTGCGTTATTATTATAACTTGGCGTGCTGACGTAGGTTTGACCATCACGGGAAATAACTCTCGGTTGTGGTGCAGGTTGATGATACGGGGGTTGAGGATCACCTAAGTGGCTTTCGTAATCAGGGCTTCGAGAATAATGGCTGCTATGACGACGGTACTGTGGTGGTGCATCATGGTTAACATCAACCACTGAATAAGGAGGAGGATCCGGTAACGGATGGACAAACGAAGTAGAATCACATATTTTAAGAGCAAAATCATCCACAAACTCCGCCCCTCTGCCATCGTCTGTCTGTGGGGATTTAAACAGAGGATTGTCGTATTCTTTTTGAACAGGCACAACAGGATCAGGTGCTGGAGCACGGGCAGAATTCCTCGGAACTGAACTCACGCCCTCTAGTCTGTAAGACCTTGGCTGCTGGCGTCTTGGCTCAGTTGCTACCCCTCCACCACCTGATGTAGAGGAACTTGAGCTGCCATTGTAAGGTATGGGAGGAGCCCTCTCACGCTTTTTCTTTCGCGTCATGCTGGCATTGTTCTGAGGTTGGTACTGCAGGCTCTCAGGGACGTTGTCGCCTCCAGCTATCACTGGACTCTCTCTAGGCGTTGAGTCGGAGACATCAGAGGCAGCTGGCGTGGGTTGCTGTTCCCCGACATGCTCAATAAAACTGGGTGGGTCCGGCCACGGCTGGTTCTCCCAGGAGTCTCCTCTGGCTTCGCTTTGTAACAGATCCTGCGGAGATGGTGCTTGAAGAGATGGAGGCCCCGGGTCATCTTCATTCAGAAACGGATTTGTACTTCTTCTGTGGAGAAGATTAATATCGACTGTTGTAGTTGTGGTATTTGTTGCTGTACCACTCGTTGAACCTTGTGTGGATGATGGCGCTATGACAACGGGGTCGTCAAGAAGCATGAGGTCAGCAGTTTCGTCAGGGATCGTTTGCAGCGCATGACTGGCAGGCGAGGAAGCCCCCCGACTGGGACTTGTCTGAGAAACAGCCATCTTGTCTCGCCGTGGCGGCACAGGAGGCTTCTGACCCCCCTCTAACCTCTGACCTCTCCCTTCTGATGACGTCGGCACAGGAGGGCAAGGTCGGGAGTTGATAAGGTCACTTACAATGTAGGCACCCGTTCTGTCATCAAAGTGCCACGAACGTCTTTGAGCCCCTCTGTCCTGCTGCAGTTGTTGTTTTAGCGCTTGTCTCCTGCTGCCTTGGTCGGCCGTACTCACGTAGGTGTCGTATCTGTCGGTTGCGTGAGCTCCTCGAGCTGCCGAGTGGGACAGAGAAGGATCTTGTGAGACCGCCGTGAAGAGGTCAGGGGAGGACATGTGGGAGCTCAGAAAGGAGTCGCTACGCTGTAGCTCTGAGCGGTGTCTGTCTCTGGGAAATGAACACAAAAGATGGGATGGTTACAGGGATACAAACCGAAAATAATCTACGATCTTTAACCTAATTTTTTTAAATTGGATGTAGGGCCTATATTACTATCCTCATCATCATCATCATTACTACTGCTGCCCTATTATTATTATTATTATTATTATTATTATTATTATCATTATTATTTATTATTATTATTATTATTATTATTATTATTATTATTATTATTATTATTATTATTATTATTATTACCGCAATCACTATTATTACAGGTATTATTACCCATTATTGTTAAACATTCAATCCCATAAGTAACACTGACAGTGCGTCTTTTCTCTCTCTTTCAGCTTTTTCTAATACTGAGGTGTAGTGCAGTGTGCAATCTTTACTCTCTTACGAATCACCAAAACAGCATTTTTTTTCCTTTTCACTTGTTGGAAGACTTTTCAAAGCTCTTTAAGTTTTATTGAATTGGAACCTAGACGTCCTACCAGTCGTTCAAGTAGATGTGTCAGTCTCTCTCTGTCTCTATCTCTGTCTCTGTCTGTCTGTCTGTCTGTCTGTCTGTCTGTCTGTCTGTCTGTCTGTCTGTCTGTCTGTCTCTCTCTCTCTCTCTCTCTCTCTCTCTCTCTCTCTCTCTCTCTCTCTCTCTCTCTTAAGCAAATGTCATGAGTGTAACCCCGTTCTGTTCTAGGATTTTAAAATGGAGTAACTTTCAATGACATATTAATCTCTTCACTATACTTTTTCTAGCAGAGAAACCAGGAAGAGCTATGTCTAACACGGACGCCAAACAAGTTAACAACTCAAAACCAACACACTTTGACTGGCTTGCACATGGACGCTATGTTTTGCTTGATGCCGAGTCCCGTAGAGCTATGGATCCTCGGCTGATATATATATATTTATTTATATATAAAAAATAATAATAATAATAAAATACAAATTAAAGAAAATGATCTCTCTCTCTCTCTCTCTCTCTCTCTCTCTCTCTCTCTCTCTCTCTCTCTCTCTCTCTCTCTCTCTCTCTCTCTCTCTCTCTCTTTTGTGTGGGCCTGTGTGTGTGTGTGTGTGTGTGTGTGTGTGAGTGTGTGTGTGTGTGTGTGTGTGTGTGTGTGTGTGTGTGTTTCTGCGTCTGTGTTCCTTGTATCGTCCCCCGTTTTAGTGCTAGCCGGCTTTGCGCCAGAGTTAACCAATGTACGGAAAGGAAAGCCTAGCTAAACATGGTATTTTCGCCTTCACCCCGCCCTCTGCAATCCGCGCTGTATGGTCATTATTTAACTAATGCAAATTTACCCCGCCATACTGCCAGCGAGCTGACCGCCAGAGGTAACACTGCATACAGCGCACAACACCCACTGGTCGGATTCTTGATAACCTTTCTCCCTCGAGAATGAGAGATATAGATAGAGAGATAGACAGAGAAAGAGAGAGAGATAGACACAGAGAGAGAGAGATAGACAGAGAGAGAGAGAGAGAGAGAGAGAGAGAGAGAGAGACAGACAGACAGACAGACAGACAGACAGACAGACAGACAGACAGACAGAGAGAGAGAGAGAGAGAGAGAGAGAGAGAGAGAGAGAGAGAGAGAGAGAAAGAGAGACAGAGAAAGGGAGAGAAGATTCTCGGCTCTGAATACATGTTCATGTATATCACCAACAAAAAGGCATTTTTCAAGCACAGATCGCATAGCAGAATCAGGTTCCTTGGCGTTGGGCAGTCGGGGCTGTACCACAGAGGAACCCCGTTGAACCGCCAGCCCCACTATTCCGCCAACTCCATGCTCGACCCAAGGATGGTGGCATAACGAGGTTTGACTATCTATCTATCTATCTATCTATCTATCTATCTATCTATCTATCTATCTATCTATCTATTTATCTATTTATCTATCTATTTATCTATCTACCTCTCTCTCTATCTCTCTCTATCTATCGATCTATTTATCTACCTATCTATCTATCTATCTATCTATCTATCTATCTATCTATCTATCTATCTATCTATCTATCTTTCTATCTATCTATCTATCTATCTATCTATCTATCTATCTATCTATCTAACTATCTATCATTCTATCTATCTATTTATACATTATATGCTATAATTATTTATTACATGACCGAACATCCTGCCCCCCCCCCACCCCTACCCTAAAGGCGCCCTCTTGTCTTATGGCCTTATTGAAATGAATTTGCGAGCGCCGTAAAACTCTTACTAATCTAAATTAACCCCGCCTCACCCTTCCCCGTTTCCAAGCAAAGGCACTGACCTGTTCTCCGGACTGTCCGCCGTGACCCCATAGAGCGTGTGTCCGTGCTGAGTCACGGGGGACTGGTGCCCGATGCTGCTGTTGGCGCTCACCAGCCGGTCCTGCATGCTGGGTTCCCGTGAGGAGTTCTGCCTGGACAGGCTCATCACTTGACCAGGGTAGCTGGGCGACCCCTGGCGGAACACGAAATATATAATATGTAAATAAATAATCATAATAATATAGTATTGTATATCGCAATCCCCCGCTCAACAACAAACTCTATGCTGATGTTGGAAAAAGCAGAGATACCTGTGCATGTAGAGATTTGAAATACGTATGTAGACCTATTTTCTATTTTTTTAAAGATCTTTCCGAGCCGAAATATTTTTCATGGGGAAGGCTTCTTGTGGGGGGAGCTCCTTGAGTTAACTTAGAAGTGTAACTCTATATATAACATATTAAAAGTAGTGGAGACTAGTGCTGCAGAAGAATGGGAATATGAAATTCAGAGAGTAAAGTCGTGTCAAGTTATAGCAATACATTGTTTACAGTGAAGTCTACGGTATATTCCGAGAACAGCGTAAAACGAAAAAAATAAAAATAATAAAACATCCGATTTTTTTCTCCTCGACAAAAATCCGTCTGTCCTTCAGATTTCGGTTTAGACAGATTTATAACAGGTAACTTCCAGGGCTTCTTTACTATGACCCTACCGCAGAATCCAAAACGTCTAGGGCCAGGAAGTGGAGAAATTGCCTGAACATTTTCTCTATACATTAATACATAACTTCTATTGGGTTGCAGTTATGGAAATGAAAGCGCTAGTGTGGGGGTGAGGAAGAGGAAAGGGGAGGGGAAAGGTGTCTTTGAGAATAACCAAATTTAACGTAATTCCTCGGTATATTATGCCAATGCCAATCGTAACAAATGGATGCTGGTGGTGAGTATGTTATCCTCATCCATCGATTCAAGATTGATTATGTTTGAGTCTGGCACAAACTCCTTGGTCTGGCAGCATTGATTCTTGCCTACTAGGGCAAGTCAGGACTAAATACGACCAACCATCTTTTCAGAAAGACAGAGCTACGTCGAGCGCACCTTTAGCTCAGTTGGCATCGTGCTAGACAACAGAGGGGATGGCCTTGGTTCATTTCCCTTACCCGCTGTTCGGAACGTGTCTCCCCACCACTTCTGGATAAGTCATTTCAGAAAATGGACGTTAAACTCAAAGATGCAACCTCTTTAGCAACCTTATGATGTTGAAAGGGGCGTTAAACCTGCACAGGACTCGAACCCATGTCTTCTGCGAGCAACAGTGAAGAGTAAAAATATTTAGCCTCAGACAGTTGATCTTGTTGTTGTCAGGATACCTCAAGAACAATGTTACTCAAATATCGATACACATTAAAATTAATTTGTACAACATGATTTCATTCCTTTTTTTTTCAACATAATTTCATAGTAAGCCCTCTTGACATAAAACGCTTTCTCACGTACACAATGATCTAGCAAAATTACATCTGAAGTTGTAAATTATATCTTCTACTACACAAAAAGAGTGCCATTTCGCAACCCTTCCCGGACTTGAACTTGTTACCAATTTCGCAAGAATACGTGACTTTGTCCATTACCATCAACTATATATATTATTATATCATCATCACAATCGTCATTATCATCATCTTCATCATATCATCATCAGCACCGTCAGCATCATGTACTGCCTTTGTCACCCTTCATCAGGGTACATGTTATAGGCCACGAACGGCTCACGTTTTCCTATCCTGGACTAGCCTATTGACCTGATATCATCCCATGTCTTCTTACTCTTCTGTACTCTTTGACTCTTGACTCTTCTCCTTGTCCCACGCGGTGACTTTGTCTAACCTTCGGAATAAGGCAGGACCAAGTCGGGTATTTTTTGCTAAACTGGTGGCAAGTTCAAGAGCACGAAGAAGTGTGAACGGCAGCTCCTTGTGTATAATATCTTTTAGATATAAATATATATAGAATGATAATACAAAACGTAAAGCATTTTATTGCAATATATAATTGTGTAGTACATGTATGAGAAAGCAGTTTTAGTCAAGAGGGCTTGATCTCTATGAAATTGGATTGACAGAAGAGATGAATTGGAAGGGGGAGAGAGAGAAAGAGAGAGAGAGAGAGAGAGAGAGAGAGAGAGAGAGAGAGAGAGAGAGAGAGAGATTGTTTGTGAGGAAAGAGGGGGTGGGGAGACAGACCGAAGCGAGAGAGAGAGAAAGAGAGAAAGATGTTGCTCCAAACTACATCCCTCCGAATGTCCCTAGATAAGAAATCGACGTGACTGTGAGGCTGCACACTGAGGGCTTGAAGCTCCCGCAGGTTCTGAGTGGGGTTATTTCATAACCCATACAACACATACACACATACACACACATACACACATACACACATGCACACACTCACACATACACACATGCACACACTCACACACATACACACATACAGACTCACACACATACATATATACACACATAACATACACACACATACACACACATTCATACACACACTCACACACATACATACTCACACATACACACACAGTAAACACAC